GTGAGTCTCATATATTGTGCTTCAAAGTAGCACCATGATTTCATATAGTGAGTCTCATAAGTTGTCTTGTTCATACTAGTGGGAATTTTTCATTATAGAACTTGGCTTGTATATTCCAACGATGGGCTTCCTCAAAATGCCCTAGGTCTTCATGAGCAAGCAAGTTAGATGCACACCCACTAGTTTTATTTTGTTGAGCATTCTTAGCTCTAGTGCATCCGTTGCATGGCAATCCCTACTCGTTGCATTAACATCAATTGATGGGCATCTCCATAGCTCATTGATTAGCCTCGTTGATGTGAGACTTTCTCCTTTTTTGTCTTCTCCACACAATCCCCATCATCATATTCTATATCACCCATAGTGCTATGTCCATGGCTCGCGCTCATGTATTGCGTGAAGGTTGAAAAAGTTTGAGATTATTTGAGTACGAAACAATTGCTTGGCTTGTCATCGGGGGTATAGAAGTTGGGAACATCTTTGTGTGACGAAAATGAAGCATAGTCTAACTATATGATTTTGTAGGGATGAACTTCCTTTGGCCATGTTATTTTGAGATGACATAATTGTTTGATTAGTATGCTTGAAGTATTATCATTTTTATGTCAAAATGAACTTTTGTCTTGAACCTTTTGGATCTGAATATTCATACCATGATTAAGAAGATTTACATTGAAATTATGCCAAAGTATCACTCCGCATCAAAAATTCTCTTTTTATCATTTACCTACTCGAGGACGAGCAGGAATTAAGCTTGGGGATGCCTGATACGTCTCCAACGTATCTATAATTTTTGATTGCTCCATGCTACTTTATCTACTGTTTTGGACTATATTGGGCTTTATTTTCCACTTTTATATTAGTTTTGGGACTAACCTATTAACCGGAGGCCCAGCCCAGAATTGATGTTTTTTTTGCCTATTTCAGTATTTCGAGGAAACAGAATATCAAACGGAATGAAACCTTCGGGAACGTGATCTTCTCACCGAACGTGATCCAGGAGACTTGGACCCTACTCCAAGAAGTTTCCGGGGAGGTCACGAGGGTGGAGGGCGCCCCCCCTGGGCGCGCCCCTGCCTCGTGGGCCCCTTGGAGCTCCACCGACGTGCTTCTTCCGCCTATATATCTCCATATACCCTAAAAACATCCGTGAGCACAATAGATCGAGAGTTTCGCCGCTAGAAGCCTCTGTAGCCACTGAAAACCAATCTAGACCCGTTCCGGCACCCTGCCGGAGGGGGAAATCCTTCTCCGGTGGCCATATTCATCATCCTGGTGCTCTCCATGACGAGGAGGGAGTAGTTCTCCCTCGGGGCTGAGGGTATGTACCAGTAGCTATGTGTTTGATCTCTCTCTCTCTCTCTCTCTCGTGTTCTTGAGATGATACGATCTTGATGTATCGCGAGCTTTGCTATTATAGTTGGATCTTATGTTTCTCCTCCCCCTCTTCTCTCTTGTAATGAATTGAGTTTTCCCCTTGAAGTAATCTTATCGGATTGAGTCTTTAAAGACTTGAGAACACTTGATGTATGTCTTGCCGTGGATATCTGTGGTGACAATGGGATACCACGTGCCACTTGATGTATGTTTTGGTGACCAACTTGCGGGTTTCGTGACATTGGGAACCTATGCATAGGGGTTGGCACACGTTTTCGTCGTGATTCTCCGGTAGAACTTTGGGGCACTCTTTGAGGTCCTTTGTGTTGGATGAATAGATGAATCTGAGATTGTGTGACGCATATCGTATAATCATACCCACGGATACTTGAGGTGACATTGGAGTATCTAGGTGACATTAGGGTTTTGATTGATTTGTGTCTTAAGGTGTTATTCTAGTACGAACTCTAGGGCTGTTTGTGACACCTATATGAATAGCCCAACGGATTGATTGGAAAGAATAACTTTGAGGTGGTTTCGTACCCTACCATAATCTCTTCGTTCGTTCTCTGCTATTAGTGACTTTGGAGTGACTCTTTGTTGCATGTTGAGGGATGGTTATGTGATCCAATTATGTTAGTATTGTTGAGGGAACTTACACTAGTGAAAGTATGAACCCTAGGCCCTATTTCCACACATTGCAATACCGTTTACGCTCACTTTTATCATTAGTTACCTTGCTGTTTTTATATTTTCAGATTACAAATACCTTTATCTACCATCCATATACCACTTGTATCACCATCTCTTCGCCGAACTAGTGCACCTATACAATTTACCATTGTATTGGGTGTGTTGGGGACACAAGAGACTCTTTGTTATTTGGTTGCAGGGTTGCTTGAGAGAGACCATCTTCATCCTACGCCTCCTACGGATTGATAAACCTTAGGTCATCCACTTGAGGGAAATTTGCTACTGTCCTACAAACCTCTGCACTTGGAGGCCCAACAACATGTACAAGAAGAAGGTTGTGTAGTAGACATCATGAACCATCCTGACGACGTAGGCCTTGGATCCTGTTAAGTCTTTGTCTTTGCGCTGCTTGAGCCTGGAAGTAAGAGGTGTTGCGATCTCCCTCCCAGAGCCACGGCACCCGCGAACGTTGCCTTAACCAAATTTCTTCCTGTTGGAGCGCCTCCCGCAAGCTACCAACAGTAACCCGCTCCTCTTCAGTCGGTCCACATCCAACTGATCGGCATCGTAATTTCTCTAGTCTTTTCTGGAGCTGTCTCACCTTACGTGTGAGGCAGCCAAACTCCCGCGCGCCCCATGGTTCCAGCGTCCTTCTTAACAAATCAAGAGAACCGGCTATACCTTGGAGCCCCGGGCCACAACGAGCTTGTTCCCAAGTTCTTGCGACTATTTGATCATAATCCACATGCGAAGCCCATACGTTTTCATATATGAATTGTTTCTTAGCTCTTGACATGTTTGGAAAATTCTCTTTTATTTCCACTACAACAAAGCAATGATCTGACTCTATGGAGGGAAGATGTTTGATCCTGATATGCATAAAGTGTTGTCGGAATTCCTCATTAATTAGCAAAAGCTCTATCAAGCCTTGCTTTTACATTTGCTACACCCGCTTGACGATTGTCCCAATTGTACGCAGTACCGGACCATCCCAGATCTTGGAAGGCCACATCATCTGTAACTTCACGAAAGGCTCGCATCTGGCTCTGCGGCCTTGCTGCTCTGCTAAAATGTTCACAAGCATATAAAGTTTCGTTGAAGTCACCGACACAAATCCATGCTGAATGTGGCACGGCATATAACGTACGCAAAAACCTCCAGCTATAGCGACGATCCTCAGCTCGAGGTGCTCCGTAAAAACCAGTAAACCTCCACTCAAAGGAGTTTTGGTCCTTGTATTTAACCATCACATCTATATGAGCAGAACTAAAGTTCTTCAGTTCTACCATCACATCTCTAGTCCAAAAGATGCCTATGCCCCCACTTAGACAAACACTATCTATAGCAAAACATCCGCCGAAGCCAAGATGATTCTGTAATTCTCACACTTTCTTCCCTTTGATTTTTGTTTCCATGACGAAGAGAAGAGTGGGTCCTTCCAGCTTCACTATAATGCGAAGCTCGCGAACTGCCTCGGGGTTCCCAAGCCCCCGACAGTTCCAGCTAATGCAACTCATTGGGCCGGGCAGGATCGATCAACGGTCTCTGCCGAATTTTCCGGAGTAGGCTTCTTCTTTTTGGGAAACTTTTCGGTCCCCTCATCCTCATCTACGCAACTGCTGCCAAGATCGGATCCCCATGAATAGCATCACCTGTGCCAGCCAGGAGCAAGAGCTGCTTCGGCTTATACACATACGTTAGAGCGTCCTTCCTCTTATTGTGTGATATGTCCCTGTTTTTCACCGGCGAGTTCACCTCCTGCTCACCATCAGGTTCGGATTTGGTACTTGAGTTCATGGTTTCTTGTTTGTTACTTGGCACCGAGCTCTGTCCCCTGGATGAACTGTCATTAGAAGTTGGTTTCTTGTTCTCCTTAGGTGCTCACAGACTCGGCCCAGAGGGTAGATCACCCTTCTCATCTCTAGTGCCTGGGGTCTGACAGAAAAGATCAGAGTGTCCTAGCCTACCACATGAGAAACAAAAGTAGGGTATCTGCTCATATTGGATGTCATATGGGTCTACCTTCTCCCTCCGAGCAGAATCAATCAGTATCCATCTACGGAGCGGCTTGCTGACTTCCACTAAAACCCTAGCTCTCAGGTAACCACCATTATGATCGAACTTAGCACTAGTGGCTCCCTTGTCAATTATCTGCGCAATGGTTAGGGCCAATGCATCACCTCTCAGATTATAAGGCAAATTAAGAACCCTAGCCCACACCTGGAGCCGATCAAAACTGACCTCATCTGGGCGCATGTGTTCCTCGAACTCAGCCAAGATTACCGCGTTCTTCTTGATATGCCATGGCGATCCAACCCAGACTCTGTATCGATCTCTCTGTGTCTCAAATTCTACAACAAATTTGTTCGGTCCAACCGAGCGGAATTGCAAACCTCTCGGATTCCCCCATGCCGGCCGAAGCGTGTTGCCAATGTTTTGGATATGATATTGATTGGGGTGAAGAATTTTGCCAGCCAACAGCCACTTCGCCTGACCACCCTCATCGCGATCGTCGATCACGAGTGGGGTAGCCTCCTCCTCGGAGATATCCAGCTTCCCGAGCGTTTCCTCCAGCAGTGATTTTGCTGATCTAGGGTTACTGGGTCCCGAGGTCCCCTGCGTGCCCGGTGGAAAGGATATTGCCATCTCCTATGCTGTCGTGCTCCAGGCAGCCCGCCAATCAGGATCCGCGGCCGCCGATGAGTTCCATGTCGAAACCCTAGAGATCGCCGCCAGGAACGCCCTTATAGGTTTCGGGGAAAAACTTTTGCATGTTCTAACTGCGGTCAGTCATACATCACTCCATGGAGTGCTTAGCCACATATAGTGGTAGTGGAAGGAGCAGATAATACAACATATATACCCATAGACACGAGTTCACGATATGGATACGATCGTAGAGAGCCGGACATGACAGGCACGAGGGCCACTTAGTTGGTGGCAGGGCTCTTCCCGTTCATGGCCGGCAGGACCTGCGCGTCCGGCACCGCGTGGCAGACCACCGCGCCGCCGGGCTTCATGCCGAGGAGCCGGAAGGTGGCATGCTCCGGGTCCCACCGGGGCGCGTCGGTGCGGCACACGGCAACCGCGGTCATCGCCACGTCCCGGCGCTCGCCGTCCAGGGCCAGGATGTAGGCCCTCGCCGGGCCGGTGGCGCGGCAGCCATACACGGCCCCTTCGCCGGCTTCTCCCCGGCACATGACGAAACTGGACCCCTCGACCGTCCTCATGAAGCGGACGGCGTATAGCTCCAGCGGTTGTTCTGCTGACGCCTCGGTGGCGACAGCGGCCCGATGGATCCTGTGGAAGGGCAGGCTCTCCCCGACGCGCACCGCGTCCTCGGAGTAAATTGCAGAAAACCACCAGTTTGAAGGTTAGGTTTGCAAAAAACACTACAATACATTTTTTTGCAAAAACACTATATCTTCAGTAATCTTTTTGCAAAAACCACTGATCGGCGGATCTGGCTCTGTTAAGAGTGTTTATGATAGATGGGGCCCATTTTCTGCTTACGTGGCGTAACTTTTTGTGTTAGATGGGTTTTAATCTAAAATTACAAACTAGACCCTCAAATTTTACACAAACACCCTCAAATAAAAAAAATGAAAAACGCAATTGACCACCACCGGAGCTTGTGCAAATCAGCCTCATCCCGCCCTCGACCTCACGTTGACCATGGCCGACCGGCGATCCCCCACCACCTCATGTCGTCCTTCTCCTCCCCAATGCTCCTCCGTGGTGGAACTTCTCCTCCCCGACGAGGATCTGGATCGGGGGGTCCACGTCCTCCTTCGTGGTGGAACCGCTTTTCCCCGACAAGATCTGGATCAGGGGTCCTCGTCGTCCTCCGTGGTCGAACTGCTCCTCCCTGACGAGATCTGGCATGGTGGGCGCCGCCGTCCTGCCGTTGTGGTGGGTGCCGCCGCCGTGCTACAGTACACCGTGGTGCATCAGTGGTGGAACTGCTCCTCCTCTGTGGTAGACGTCGGCGGCCTGCCGGCCGCCAGCTAGATGCGCACGCCGTCCTGGTGCATCGGTGACCGCCCCTGCTGCTCCAGTCTTTGCCCCCCGCTCTCTTCTTTCCCAGGTCGTCTCCCTTGCCCCCCGCCTCTTCTTCCCCAGGACGCCCCTGCTCCTCCTGTCGCTGACCCGACTGCCCCAGTCACAACGTCCTTGTCAAGGAACGACAACGACGACTCCCAGTGGCGGCCATCCTGCCGGTGTCGGGCTTTGGCGCTGGCCCTGGCCTTTTCTTCTTCATCCCGGCGCTGCCCCATGGTCAACGGGGATGGAGGGGCGGCACTGAGCTCGTGTGCACGCTTGCCGGCTGCAGAGGAAGAGAGGTTGGGAGCGAGGGGAAGGGCTGTGGCGTGATTGGAGGGCCTAGGAAGTAGGGGGAGAAAGTTGGAGGGCGTTTTGCATTAAACCTAAACCGTTATGCCATGTAAGTAGAAAAATGGGCCCCATCTGTCATAAACACGCTTAAGCCAGATCCGTCGATCAATGCTTTTTGCAAAAAGATTACTGAAGACGTAGTGTTTTCTGCCAAAAAAATGTATTGTAGTGTTTTGTGCAAAGCTAGCCTTCAAAGTGGTGGTTTCATGCAGTTTACTCGCGTCCTCGAGGAAGAACACCACCGACAACGGCGTGGCGACGTTGCGGACGACGGCGGCGCGGTTTAGTAGGACGTAGGGGGAGGGGGCGCTGTGAAGGAAATATGCCCTAGAGGCAATAATAAAGTTATTATTTATTTCCTTACATCATGATAAATGTTTATTATTCATGCTAGAATTGTATTAACCGGAAACATAATACATGTGTGAATACATAGACCAACAGAGTGTCACTAGTATGCCTCTACTAGACTAGCTCGTTAATCAAAGATGGTTATGTTTCCTAACCATAAACAAAGAGTTGTTATTTGATTAACGAGGTCACATCATTAGTAGAATGATCTGATTGACATGACCCATTCCATTAGCATAGCACCCGATCGTTTAGTATGTTGCTATTGCTTTCTTCATGACTTATACATGTTCCTATAACTATGAGATTATGCAACTCCCGTTTACCGGAGGAACACTTTGGGTACTACCAAACGTCACAACGTAACTGGGTGATTATAAAGGAGTACTACAGGTGTCTCCAATGGTAGATGTTGGGTTGGCGTATTTCGAGATTAGGGTTTGTCACTCCGATTGTCGGAGAGGTATCTCTGGGCCCTCTCGGTAATGCACATCACATAAGCCTTGCAAGCACTGCAACTGATATGTTAGTTGTGAGATGATGTATTACGGAACGAGTAAAGAGACTTGCCAGTAACGAGATTGAACTAGGTATTGGATACCGACGATCGAATCTCGGGCAAGTAACATACCGATGACAAAGGGAACAATGTATGTTGTTATGCGGTCTGACCGATAAAGATCTTCGTAGAATATGTAGGAGCCAATATGGGCATCCAGGTCCCGCTATTGGTTATTGACCGGAGACATATCTCGGTCATGTCTACATTGTTCTCGAACCGTAGGGTCCGCACGCTTAACGTTACGATGACAGTTATTATGAGTTTATGCATTTTGATGTACCGAAGGTTGTTCGGAGTCCCGGATGAGATCACGGACATGATGAGGAGTCTCGAAGTGGTCGAGACGTAAAGATTGATATATTGGAAGCCTATGTTTGGACATAGGAAGTGTTCCGGGTGAAATCGGGATTTTACCGGAATACCGGGAGGGTTACCGGAACCCCCCGGGAGACTAATGGGCCTATTGGGCCTTAGTGGAAAAGGAGAAAAGGGACAAGCCCAAGCTGGCCGGCGCCCCCCCCCTTCCCCAAGTCCTAGTAGGACTAGGATAGGGGGCCGGCCCCCCTTCTCTCTCTTTTCCCCCCGGGAGTCCTAATTGGATTAGGATTGGGGGGAGGAGTCCTACTCCCGGTGGGAGTAGGACTCCCCTGCGCCTCCTCTCCCTTGGCCGGCCGGCTCCCCCTCCCCCAACCTTTATATACGGGGGCAGGGGGCACCCCAAGACACACAACTTGATCCTTGAGATCGTTCCTTAGCCGTGTGCGGTGCCCCCTGCCACCAAATTCCACCTCGATCGTACCGTTGTAGTGCTTAGGCGAAGCCCTGCGTCGGTAGTACATCAAGATCGTCATCACGCTGTCGTGCTGACGGAACTCTTCCTCGACGCTTTGCTGGATCGGAGCCCGAGGAACGTCATCGAGCTGAACATGTGCTAAGAACTCGGAGGTGCCGGAGTAACGGTGCTTGGATCGGTCGGATCGGGAAGAAGACGTACGACTACTTCCTCTACGTTGTGTGATCGCTTCCACAGTCGGTCTGCGTTGGTACGTAGACAACACTCTCCCCTCTCGTTGCTGTGCATCACCATGATCTTTCGTGTGCGTAGGAATTTTTTTGAAATTACTGCGTTCCCCAACAGTGGCATCCGAGCCTAGGTTTTATGGTTTGATGTTATATGCACGAGTAGAACACAAGTGAGTTGTGGGCGATACAAGTCATACTGCCTACCAGCATGTCATACTTTGGTTCGGCGGTATTGTTGGGTGAGACGATCCGGACCAACCTTACGCGTACTCTTACGCGAGACCGGTTCCCTCGACGTGCTTTGCACACAGATGGCTTGCGGAAGACTGCCTCTCCAACTTTAGTTGAACCAAGTGTGACTACGCCCGGTCCTTGAGAAGGTTAAAACGGAGTCTATTTGACGAACTATCATTGTGGTTTTGATGCGTAGGTGAGATGAGTTCTTACTTAAGCCCGTAGCAGCCACGTAAAACTTGCAACAACAAAGTAGAGGACGTCTAACTTGTTTTTGCAGGGTATGTTGTGATGTGATATGGTCAAGGCATGATGCTGATTTTATTGTATGAGATGATCATGTTTTGTAACCGAGTTATCGGCAACTGGCAGGAGCCATATGGTTGTCGCTTTATTGTATGCAATGCAATCGCGATGTAATGCTTTACTTTATTACTAAACGGTAGTGATAGTCGTGGAAGCATAAGATTGGCGAGACGACAACAATGCTACGATGGAGATCAAGGTGTCGCGCCGGTGACGATGGTGATCATGACGGTGCTTCGGAGATGGAGATCACAAGCACAAGATGATGATGGCCATATCATATCACTTATATTGATTGCATGTGATGTTTATCCTTTTATGCATCTTATCTTGCTTTGATTGACGGTAGCATTATAAGATGATCTCTCACTAAATTATCAAGAAGTGTTCTCCCCAAGTTTGCACCGTTGCCAAAGTTCGTCGTGCCCAGACACCACGTGATGATCGGGTGTGATAAGCTCTACGTCCAAATACAACGGGTGCAAAACAGTTGCACACGCAGAATACTCGGGTTATACTTGACGAGCCAAGCATATACAGACATGGCCTCGGAACACGGAGACTGAAAGGTCGAGCGTGAATCATATAGTAGATATGATCAACATAACGATGTTCACCATTGAAAACTACTCCATCTCACGTGATGATCGGTTATGGTTTAGTTGATTTGGATCACGTGATCACTTAGAAGATTAGAGGGATGTCTATCTAAGTGGGAGTTCCTAAGTAATTTGATTAACTGAACTTAAACTTATCATGAACTTAGTACCTGATAGTATCTTGCTTGTTTATGTTGCTTGTAGATAGATGGCTCGTGCTATTGTTCCGTTGAATTTTAATGCGTTCCTTGAGAAAGCAAAGTTGAAAGATGATGGTAGCAATTACACGGACTGGGTCCGTAACCTGAGGATTATCCTCATTGCTGCACAGAAGAATTACGTCCTGGAAGCACCGTTGGGTGACAGGCCTGCTGCTGGAGCAACGCCAGATGTTATGAACGTCTGGCAGAGCAAAGCTGATGACTACTCGATAGTTCAGTGTGCCATGCTTTACGGCTTAGAATCGGGACTTCAACGATGTTTTGAACGTCATGGAGCATATGATATGTTCCAGGAGTTGAAGTTAATATTTCAAGCAAATGCCCGAATTGAGAGATATGAAGTCTCCAATAAGTTCTATAGCTGTAAGATGGAGGAGAACAGTTCTGTCAGTGAGCATATACTCAAGATGTCTGGGTATAATAATCACTTGATTCAGATGGGAGTTAATCTTCCAGATGACTGCGTCATTGACAGAATTCTCCAATCACTGCCACCAAGCTACAAGAGCTTCGTGATGAACTATAATATGCAAGGGATGAACAAGACTATTCCCGAGCTCTTCGCAATGCTGAAAGCTGCGGAGGTAGAAATCAAGAAGGAGCATCAAGTGTTGATGGTTAGCAAAACCACTAGTTTCAAGAAAAAGGGCAAAGGGAAGAAGAAGGGAAATTTCAAGAAGAACAGCAAGCAAGTTGCTGCTCAGGAGAAGAAACCCAAGTCTGGACCTAAGCCTGAAACTGAGTGCTTCTACTGCAAGCAGACTGGTCACTGGAAGCGGAACTGCCCCAAGTATTTGGCGGATAAGAAGGATGGCAAAGTGAGCAAAGGTATATGTGATATACATGTTATTGATGTGTACCTTACTAGAGCTCGCAGTAGCACCTGGGTATTTGATACTGGTTCTGTTGCTAATATTTGCAACTCGAAACAGGGACTACAGAATAAGCGGACGCTAGCAAAGGACGAGGTGACGATGCGCGTGGGAAACGGTTCCAAAGTCGATGTGATCGCGGTCGGCACGCTACCTCTACATCTACCTTCGGGATTAATATTAGACCTAAATAATTGTTATTTGGTGCCAGCGTTGAGCATGAACATTATATCTGGATCTTGTTTAATGCGAGACGGTTATTCATTTAAATCAGAGAATAATGGTTGTTCTATTTATATGAATAATATCTTTTATGGTCATGCACCCTTGAAAAGTGGTCTATTCTTATTGAATCTCGAAGATAGTGATACACATATTCATAATGTAGAAGCCAAAAGATGCAAAGTTAATAATGATAGTGCAACTTACTTGTGGCACTGCCGTTTAGGTCATATCGGTGTAAAGCGCATGAAGAAACTCCATACTGATGGGCTTTTGGAACCACTTGGTTATGAATCACTTGGTACTTGCGAACCGTGCCTCATAGGCAAGATGACTAAAACACCGTTCTCCGGTACTATGGAGAGAGCAACAGATTTATTGGAAATCATACATACCGATGTATGTGGTCCGATGAATATTGAGGCTTGTGGCGGATATCGTTATTTTCTCACCTTCACAGATGATTTAAGCAGATATGGGTATATCTACTTAATGAAACATAAGTCTGAAACATTTGAAAGGTTCAAAGAATTTCAGAGTGAAGTTGAAAATCATCGTAACAAGAAAATAAAGTTTCTACGATCTGATCGTGGAGGAGAATATTTGAGTTACGAGTTTGGTGTACATTTGAAAAATTGTGGAATAGTTTCGCAACTCACGCCACCCGGAACACCACAACGTAATGGTGTGTCCGAACGTCGTAATCGTACTTTACTAGATATGGTGCGATCTATGATGTCTCTTACTGATTTACCGCTATCGTTTTGGGGTTATGCTTTAGAGACGGCCGCATTCACGTTAAACAGGGCACCATCAAAATCCGTTGAGACGACACCTTATGAACTATGGTTTGGCAAGAAACCAAAGTTGTCGTTTCTTAAAGTTTGGGGCTGCGATGCTTATGTGAAAAAGCTTCAACCTGATAAGCTCGAACCCAAATCGGAGAAGTGTGTCTTCATAGGATATCCAAAGGAAACTATTGGATACACCTTCTATCACAGATCCGAAGGCAAGACTTTTGTTGCTAAATTCGGAAACTTTCTAGAGAAGGAGTTTCTCTCGAAAGAAGTGAGTGGGAGGAAAGTAGAACTTGACGAGGTAACTGTACCTGCTCCCTTATTGGAAAATAGTACATCACAGAAAACTGTTTCTGCGACACCTATACCAATCAGTGAGGAAGCTAATGATGATGATCATGAAGCTTCAGAACAAGATACTACTGAACCACGTAGATCAACCAGAGTGAGATCCGCACCAGAGTGGTACGGTAATCCAGTTCTGGAAGTCATGATGCTAGATCATGATGAACCTACAAACTATGAAGAAGCGATGGTGAGCCCAGATTCCGCAAAGTGGCTTGAGGCCATGAAATCTGAGATGGGATCCATGTATGAAAACAAAGTATGGACTTTGGTTGACTTGCTCGATGATCGGCAAGCAATTGAGAATAAATGGATCTTCAAGAAAAAGACTGACGCTGACGGTAATATTACTGTCTATAAAGCTCGACTTGTCGCGAAAGGTTTTCGGCAAGTTCAAGGAGTTGACTACGATGAGACCTTCTCACCCGTAGCGATGCTTAAGTCCATCAGAATAATGTTAGCAATTGCCGCATTTTATGATTATGAAATATGGCAGATGGATGTCAAAACTGCATTCCTGAATGGATTTCTGGAGGAAGAGTTGTATATGATACAACCAGAAGGTTTTGTCGATCCAAAGGGAGCTAACAAAGTATGCAAACTCCAGCGATCCATTTATGGACTGGTGCAAGCATCTCGGAGTTGGAATAAACGCTTTGATAGTGTGATCAAAGCATTTGGCTTTATACAGACTTTTGGAGAAGCCTGTATTTACAAGAAAGTGAGTGGGAGCTCTGTAGCATTTCTGATATTATATGTGGATGACATATTGCTAATTGTAAATGATATAGAATTTCTGGATAGCATAAAGGGATACTTGAATAAAAGTTTTTCGATGAAAGACCTCGGGGAAGCTGCTTACATATTAGGCATAAAGATCTATAGAGATAGATCTAAACGCTTAATTGGACTTTCACAGAGCACATACCTTGACAAGATTTTGAAGAAGTTCAAAATGGATCAAGCAAAGAAAGGGTTCTTGCCTGTGTTACAAGGTATGAAATTGAGTAAGACTCAATGCCCGACCACTGCAGAAGATAGAGAGAAAATGAAAGATGTTCCCTATGCTTCAGCCATAGGCTCTATCATGTATGCAATGCTGTGTACCAGACCTGATGTGTGCCTTGCTATAAGTTTAGCAGGGAGGTACCAAAGTAATCCAGGAATGGATCACTGGACAGCAGTCAAGAACATCCTGAAATACCTGAAAAGGACTAAGGATATGTTTCTCGTATATGGAGGTGACAAAGAGCTCACCGTAAGAGGTTACGTTGATACAAGCTTTGACACTGATCCGGACGATTCTAAATCGCAAACCGGATACGTGTTTACTTTAAACGGTGGAGCTGTCAGTTGGTGCAGTTCTAAACAAAGCGTCGTAGCGGGATCTACATGTGAAGCGGAGTACATAGCTACTTTGGAAGCAGCAAACGAAGGAGTCTGGATGAAGGAGTTCATATCTGATCTAGGTGTCATACCTAGTGCATCGGGTCCAATGAAAATCTTCTGTGACAATACTGGTGCAATTGCCTTGGCAAAGGAATCCAGATTTCACAAGAGGACCAAACACATCAAGAGACGCTTCAACTCCATCCGGGATTTAGTCCAGGTGGGAGACATAGAGATTTGCAAGATACATACGGATCTGAATGTTGCAGACCCGTTGACTAAGCCTCTTCCACGAGCAAAACATGATCAGCACCAAGGCTCCATGGGTGTTAGAATCATTACTGTGTAATCTAGATTATTGACTCTAGTGCAAGTGGGAGACTGAAGGAAATATGCCCTAGAGGCAATAATAAAGTTATTATTTATTTCCTTACATCATGATAAATGTTTATTATTCATGCTAGAATTGTATTAACCGGAAACATAATACATGTGTGAATACATAGACCAACAGAGTGTCACTAGTATGCCTCTACTAGACTAGCTCGTTAATCAAAGATGGTTATGTTTCCTAACCATAAACAAAGAGTTGTTATTTGATTAACGAGGTCACATCATTAGTAGAATGATCTGATTGACATGACCCATTCCATTAGCATAGCACCCGATCGTTTAGTATGTTGCTATTGCTTTCTTCATGACTTATACATGTTCCTATAACTATGAGATTATGCAACTCCCGTTTACCGGAGGAACACTTTGGGTACTACCAAACGTCACAACGTAACTGGGTGATTATAAAGGAGTACTACAGGTGTCTCCAATGGTAGATGTTGGGTTGGCGTATTTCGAGATTAGGGTTTGTCACTTCGATTGTCGGAGAGGTATCTCTGGGCCCTCTCGGTAATGCACATCACATAAGCCTTGCAAGCACTGCAACTAATATGTTAGTTGTGAGATGATGTATTACGGAACGAGTAAAGAGACTTGCCAGTAACGAGATTGAACTAGGTATTGGATACCGACGATCGAATCTTGGGCAAGTAACATACCGATGACAAAGGGAACAACGTATGTTGTTATGCGGTCTGACCGATAAAGATCTTCATAGAATATGTAGGAGCCAATATGGGCATCCAGGTCCCGCTATTGGTTATTGACCGGAGACGTATCTCGGTCATGTCTACATTGTTCTCGAACCGTAGGGTCCGCACGCTTAACGTTACGATGACAGTTATTATGAGTTTATGCATTTTGATGTACCGAAGGTTGTTCGGAGTCCCGGATGAGATCACGGACATGACGAGGAGTCTCGAAATGGTCGAGACGTAAAGATTGATATATTGGAAGCCTATGTTTGGACATAGGAAGTGTTCCGGGTGAAATCGGGATTTTACTGGAATACCGGGAGGGTTACCGGAACCCCCCGGGAGACTAATGGGCCTATTGGGCCTTAGTGGAAAAGGAGAAAAGGGACAAGCCCAAGCTGGCCGGCGCCCCCCCCTTCCCCAAGTCCTAGTAGGACTAGGATAGGGGGCCGGCCCCCCTTCTCTCTCTTTTCCCCCCGGGAGTCCTAATTGGATTAGGATTGGGGGGAGGAGTCCTACTCCCGGTGGGAGTAGGACTCCCCTGCGCCTCCTCTCCCTTGGCCGGCCGGCTCCCCCTCCCCCAACCTTTATATACGGGGGCAGGGGGCACCCCAAGACACACAACTTGATCCTTGAGATCGTTCCTTAGCCGTGTGCGGTGCCCCCTGCCACCAAATTCCACCTCGATCGTACCGTTGTAGTGCTTAGGCGAAGCCCTGCTTCGGTAGTACATCAAGATCGTCATCACGCCGTCGTGCTGACGGAACTCTTCCTCGACGCTTTGCTGGATCGGAGCCCGAGGAACGTCATCGAGCTGAACGTGTGCTAAGAACTCGGAGGTGCCGGAGTAACGGTGCTTGGATCGGTCGGATCGAGAAGAAGACGTACGACTACTTCCTCTACGTTGTGTGATCGCTTCCGCAGTCGGTCTGCGTTGGTACGTAGACAACACTCTCCCCTCTCGTTGCTGTGCATCACCATGATCTTGCGTGTGCGTAGGAAATTTTTTGAAATTACTGCGTTCCCCAACACGCTAGTGGCTTCGCTCCGGGGCAAGGCGTTGTCGTAGCCATAGTTGAAGTTCATGGGCGGTGGCGGGTCCTTGTCCTCCATGTTGTCCTCGGCGACTGCGCCTTCCGGAGTGTCAGTCTCTGCATTCATGTACGCGCCTTGTTTCATTGATGCGTGGTGATCAAACTAGGGTAGGAGCTCGAGGATGGCGTCCGGCATGGGGGCGTCGGGTAGGGCAGTGCGCCAGAAGGCCTCCGCCGGCGCATCCGCGCAGCGGACGCCGCTTCCCGGACCAAGCCTGGGGGATTCAAGAGACAAGAAAACGCACCGATGAAATGTTTGACAAGACAAAATTCAGTCGTGTATGGTAGATGTCTGAGCCATGCATGGCCGGCTCTACTAGCTAGCTCTTTCGCACCATGAGAACCGTGGCCGTGACGGCGAGAACGAGGAGGCGCGCCATCGTCGGAGCTGCACAGAGGTAGGGGGCGAGCCAAGCTAGTTAGACCCACACGACCTTGAGGAAGCCTTGCTGCTCCTTGTGTGGAAACCAAGAGAGATCGTGCCAAATTTATAGAGGGGAGTGGCGACAGCGACGTGAAACGGAAAGCGTCGGGATCTAAGAGTATAAGGCCAAGTCTAGCGAGCGGCCGGCTGCTCGCTTAGCCTACGCGAGCGGCCGGCCTAAACTGGAAATTTTGTGTCCACTTCTTAATTAATCATCCTAATTAAGAAAGCTTTTAATCTGGTTCTCAAATGTCTGCACAGCCATCCCTTCGGTGCATGCGTTTTACTCTTTGGAGTATTTAATTCGTGGTTTGAAAAACTAAAAAAAGCATAACTTTTAATCCGCGTGTCGGAATTAAGATCCGTTTTCACCGCTGGAATCCTCGCGACGTGCTCTTCAAAACTAGATCCCGCATGGGGATGTTTCGACGAACTAGTCTTCCTGCCAACTAAACATCAATGTGTGTGCAACTAGACTAAATTGCCGCGCCAACTGAGCATATGTGTGTGTGTGCGAAAAATGTCCTGCCAACTAAACATCAATGTGTGTGCAACTAGACTAGATTGCCGCGCCAACTGAGCATATGTGTGTGTGCCAAAAAAGTCCTGCCAACTAAATATCAATGTGTGTGCAACTAGACTAGATTGCCACGCCAACTGAGCATATGTGCGTGCAACTAGTGTCCTGCCAACTAAACATCAATGTGTGCAACTAGACTAAATTACAAGGCAACTAAGCATATGTGTGTGCAATTAGTCTTCCTGCCAACTAAACATCAATGTGTGTGCAATTAGATTACATTACAAGCCAACTAAACATCAATGTGTGTGCAACTAGACTACATTATAAGCCAACTAAACATCAATATGTGTACGACTAGACTACATTACAAGAGGAGGTTGCACATCGACTTTCGTCGAGGCAATAGACTAGTTGCACATCAAATTTGTCATGGTTGCTAGGTTGCAACCTCATACGAAGGCGTAGCTCCAAACATTAATTTTGGAAAAAAGTTACACGATGTAGTAATAAAGTTGCACAATACAGTAATAAAGTTGCACTATATAGCTACAAAGTTGGCATCGAAAAAATTTGTCAAAATATACCCATGCGGGATCTAGTTTCAAAGATCTCGTCGCAAGGATTTCAATGGTGAAAATGGATTTGAATTCCGACGCGCGGTTTGAAAGATATAGCTTTTTGAATTTTTAAAAACCCGAAATAAATGCAGATGGATTTATCTTTCTCAAACTAAAGGAGCAGTGTGAACATATTTAATGCCACGCCTACATGCACTAGCAGACAAACAAATTACCACATGCATGCGTTGTGAGAGCCGGCCGCTCGGTTGGACTAAAAAGTGCGCGGCCACTTTTTAGATTTCAGGAGAATATAATATCGGCGGCGATTGTTGCATGCGGGAGCAGAGAGCCACACGAGACGCCTCCAATCTCTGCATTCTGCACTTCACCGCCCCTTTTGGTTTGGGGAAAGAAACGATTGACGATGACCTACTCATCGGGTGGACGGCACCGTGCGCCACTCGAGTGACCCGACGATGGTCGAGGACGATCGAAATATAATCTTCAGTGACGACGGTTGCCGTGAGGATGTCATGTGCAACGCTCGACGGTGCAGAAACTTCTTTTCAGCAAAATGCAGTTATCAAAGAATCACTACTCCTACGATTACGAACTGAAACTTCCGGATGACGTCATACCGTCTGGTGGGAAATCACAGGTAACCACAAGGGGTTAGTGTATCTCCAACGTGAACACTCAAAACGCCCGCAAATGTCCAGACCGAGCTGTCTGTACATAGTTTGTCATCAAATGTGGACCCATCAATCCACGGACACATATGGTTGTTTGAAACCCCGCAAACTGGATGCAAACCAGAGGAAGCTTTGCGGCGTATGGACCGTTATCACGTATGCGTCCAACATCCCCATCTCATCCAAAAACCTCTCCCGCACCTGCACTCTCTCCCTCACGAGTGTACCTCCGCCCCGCGCCGCATTCATGACAGACCACAGAGGACACAACCGTTCACTGGAGCTGCTATTGAAACAATGCACTGCCCAAGAGCGCCGCCCACTCCGCGCCCCTGTCTCCGTGACTGTTCAATGCCGGTGAGATTTGACTAGACGAGATGACTCTCTACCACATCCAAATCGGCTGCCAGTTTGTCCGCCCGCCGGCATTATACAGAGACGATGACCGAGAATAAACCCACTCCGACGCCTACATTAGAACAGCGGGCGCGGGTTGGCCTGGCCGACGTCCGCTATTCATACGTGTCCATGCCCGTCACGATCCACACTGCACCATCTTCGTCATGACCGTGGGCTCTAGAGCCATGTGGGAGAGTGTCTCGACCGCATAGAAGCAAGAGTCTGCCAGCCTTGTGGTTGGTTGGCAAGCCCTTCATGCGCGATGGATAGCGGCTGGGTTGCCAACGAGCTCGCCAGAGGTCAGTGACAACGATCAAGCAATGGAGGAGGCGTCTGACGACGAACTGGTGCCCCCGCCCACATCAGAAGAGTTGCCGACACTACTGTTGTCTGTGTTCCGCTAGGCACAGGAGGACCAACGCTACAACCTTCAGCTCATCAACGAGTACCACTCGCGGAGGGACAAATCGCCGGCGAGCAGGGAACGATGACGTCGCCATGACCACGATAGCGGAAGAGCAGGGTTTCCTGGATGAGGGTGGACACTGTGCCGGTCCATACGAAGCGCCCACAACATCCGCTGAGAGCGATCGTGGGTGCGCATCCTACGGGCGAAGACTAATGCTTTGTTTTGTTGGGGAACGCAGTAATTTCAAAAAATCCCTACGCACATGCAAGATCCATCTAGGTGATGCATAGCAACGAGAGGGGAGAGTGTTGTCCACGTACCCTCGTAGACCGTAAGCGGAAGCATTATGACAACACGGTTGATGTAGTCGTACGTATTCATGATCCGACCGATCCTAGCACCGAAGGTACGACACCTCCGCGATTTGCACACGTTCAGCTCGGTGACGTCCCATGAACTCTAGATCCAGCTGAGTGTCGAGGGAGAGCTTTGTCAGCATGACGACGTGATGACGGTGATGATGAAGTTACCGACGCAAGGCTTCGCCTAAGCACTACAACGATATGACCGAGGTGGAAATCTGTGGAGGGGGGGGGGGCACCGCACACGGCTAAGAGATCAACTTGTGTGTCTATGGGGTGCCCCCTTCCCCGTATATAAAGGAGTGGAGGAGGGAAGGGTCGTCCCTCTCTATGGCGTGCCCTAGGGGGAGTCCTACTCCCACCAGGAGTAGGATTCCCCCCTTTCCCTAGTAGGAGTAGGAGAGAAGGAAGGGGGAGAGAGAAGGAAGGAAGGGGGGCCGTCCCCCCACCCAATTCGAACTGGCCTAGGGGGCCCCTCCTCCTTGGCCTTCCTCTCCTCTATTCCACTAAGGCCCAATAAGGCCCATATACTCCCCGAGGGGTTCCGGTAACCCCCCCGATACTCCGGTAAATGCCCGAACTCACCCGAAACCATTCTGATGTCCAAATATAGGATTCCAATATATCAATCTTTATGTCTCGACCATTCCGAGACTCCTCGTCATGCCCGTGATCATATCCAAGACTTCGAACTACCTTCGGTACATCAAAACACATAAAATCATAATACCGATCATCATTGAACGTTAAGCGTGCGGACCCTATGGGTTCGAGAACTATGTAGACATGACCGAGACTCATATCTAGTCAATAACCAATAGCGGAACTTGGATGCTCATATTGGTTCCTACATATGAAGGAAATATGCCCTAGAGGCAATAATAAAGTTATTATTTATTTCCTTATTTCATGATAAATGTTTATTATTCATGCTAGAATTGTATTAACCGGAAACATAATACATGTGTGAATACATAGACAAACATAGTGTCACTAGTATGCCTCTACTTGACTAGCTCATTGATCAAAGATGGTTAAGTTTCCAAACCATAGACATGAGTTGTTATTTGATCAATGGGATCACATCATTAGGAGAATGATGTGATTGACTTGACCCATTCCGTTAGCTTAGCACTTGATCGTTTTTGTTTACTGCTATTGCTTTCTTCATGACTTATACATGTTCTTATGACTATGAGATTATGCAACTCCCGAATACCGGAGGAACACTTTGTGTGCTACCAAAAGTCACAACGTAACTGGGTGATTATAAAGGTACTCTACAGGTGTCTCTGATGGTACTTGTTGAGTTGGCATATATCAAGATTAGGTTTCGTCACTCCGATTGTCGGAGAGGTATCTCTGGGCCCTCTCGGTAATGCACATCACTATAAGCCTTGCAAGCAATGAAAATAATGAGTTGAAAGTAACATACCGATGACAAAGAGAACAACGTATAGTGTTATGCGGTTTGACCGATAAAGATCTTCGTAGAATATGTAGGAACCAATATGAGCATCCAGGTTCCGCTATTGGTTACTGACCGGAGACATGTCTCGGTCATGTCTACATAGTTCTCGAACCCGTAGGGTCCGCATGCTTAAAGTTCTGTGACAATCGGTTTTATGAGTTTATATGTTTTGATGTACCGAAGGTAGTTTGGAGTCCCGGATATGATCACGGACATGACGAGGAGTCTCGAATGGTCGAGACATG